CTTCCCCGAAAAACTGAATGTCAAAAGATCTCACTTCGTTACGGATTAACTCTGGGTTCTGTCGAGTTTCGGTGCAACGTCGTGTGTAAACACAGGGAAATAATATGTGTTCGCTTCGGATACCCTTTGGATTAGCTCTGCTTTAGACCCCGTGTGATAAGGTCCATTATCTGAAATGCATTGATTTTCTTCCTATCATCTTTCTTAACTGTCCAGTTCTCACATCCATACATGGCTTGTATGATTCTAACTTTTGTGCTGAGTTGTATATTGTCTAGGTTGAACTTGTGAAGGTCTTCCCTCGGTGGTCATTATTTTTGTTCTCTTTATGTTCAGCATTAAGCCTGCCTTTGCACTTTCTTCTTTGATCTTCTTTAGTAGGTGTTCCAGGTCTGTGATGTTTTCTGCTAGTATTATGGTGTCATCAGCATATCTCAGATTGTTGATATTCCTTCTTCTTATTTTCACTCCTCCTCCTTTTGTGTCCAAGCGTGCTTTTCTTATAATATGTTCTGCATACAAGTTGAACAGATAGGGTGATATCTGAGTTGTGTATCTTTACATTTTAGGATCTTTTCTAGTTCTTTTGTGGCTGTCCTCCTCATTCTTAATCTTCTGATTTCCTGACTGCAGTCCCTATTTCTATCAGTGTTCTATTTCTTCATTGTCTAGGTTGAACTTGTGAAGGTCCTTGTTGGTCCTTGTTTTTGTTTTCTTTATGTTCAACATTAAGCCTGCTTTAGCACCTCCTTCTTCTAGGTCCAAGTCTGTTTTTCTTATAATATGCTCTGCATAAAAGTTGAACAGATAGGGTGATAGGATGCAGCCTTGTCTGGCTCCTTTGCCAATTGGGAACCATTCTGATTCTCCTTGTTCTGTTCTGACAGTAGCCTCTTATCCTGAGTAAAGATTCCTCATCAGGACTATTAGATGTGTTGGCACTCCCATGTCTTTAAGGGCATTCCATAGCTTTTCATGGTCTATGCACAATACATGTTGCTTTGGTGAGTTTAGGTGAGATGAGGTTTGGGCAGGCTTCAGACTTGCAGGATCTGCTTGGGTTTTTTACTTGGATCACTCTTGGGATCATGTGGAAATCAGAAGAGAGGAGAGATCTTCTCCAGGTGAAACTGAGGAACCCCTGAAACTGTTTTTATCTTTTTGGTACTGGTTTTTGATGATCTCACATGCAAAAATCTACTCCTTTTCCCCCTCCCTAATTTTAGCACCTGACTTTAGGATGTGTTTGTTGTTGTTGGCCTTCAAATCATTTTTACTTAATGGCAACTCTAAGGCAAGCCAATTGTAGGGTTTTCTTGGCAGGTTTCTTCAGAAGGGATTTGCCATTGCCATCCTCTGAGGCTGAGAGTGTGTGACTTGCCCAGGGTCACCCCAGTGGGTCCTTCTGGGAGAAAGGCAGCATACAAATTAAATAAATAAATAAATAAATAAATGATTTTTTTATGCTTGAGTGGGGAATTGACCCCTGATCTCCAGATTGATAGTCCAATGTTCCAACCACTATACTACATATGTGTCTTCAAGACCCCTTATGGCAATCCCATGAATCTTAGGGTTTTTTAAGGCAAGGAATAATAATAATAATAATAATAATAATAATAAATTTTATTTAT